GAAACAATCTGTGGGTCTTGCCAGCACCCCAGGGGAGGGGTTTATACAGAGTGTGACAAGCAGGCATTAGAGATCATGGACACCATCACAGAATGTTGCCCACTACAGTGATGGTCCATGAGACACAAACAAGACTTTCATGTGACTTCTAATGGAAATGTTGATCTAAGTCAAGAAACATTTTTAGGTGACAGTAAATCTTGTCTGATTGATCTTCTTTGAGAAGAAAATGAGGAAAATTCATAGATCTGCTCTGAGAAAATCACCAGATTTTTTAAAAAATTAAATTAGAAACCTTATGGTCTTCAACAATAAAATATACTACAGTTCTGGGTGGCTGGTTCTATTGGTCAGCTTTTTGTCATTATAATGAAATACCAGAAGAAACCATCATGCCAAAGGGGTTCTTAGCTCAGTTTTGAAGGTTCCAGTAAAAGGTCAGGTGGCCCCATGCATTTGGAAATGAGGGCAGTGGATGCCAGTGGTGGAGCATGGGCAAGCCAGAACCTCGGTGACTGAGCCCAGCGTTTACAAACAACTTTCTCTAGAACTACTTCCAAGGGCATGCCCTCAGGGCCATGAGGATACTACATATAAGCCCACTTCCTAGAGACAAAAATTAGTTTTAGTTTTCACCCCCTTTGTACCATTAACTTATATGCCTTTGGACATCAAAGTCCAACAGGCATTCAGGAGCCATATCATATTCAAACCATAGCAGTGGTTAAACACATCTTGTCACAGGCTAATCTTATCTTTTTTTCTTTTTTTTTTTTAATTAACCTTCTTCTTCTTTTTTTTTTTTTTAATGTATTCATTCATTTGAGAGATAGAGTTACAGCAGAGAGAGAGAGGGAGAGACAGAGAAAAAGGTCTTCCATCCGCTGGTTCCCTCCCCAGTTGGCCACAACAGCTAGAGCTGCGCCCATCGGAAGCCAGGAGCCAGGAGCTTCCTCCGGGTCTCCCACTTGGGTGCAGGGGCCCAAGGACTTGGGCCATCTTCTGCTGCTTTCCCAGGCCATAGCAGAGAGCTGGATCAGAAGTGGAGCAGCTGGGATATGAATGGGCACCCATATGGGATGTCCGTGCAGCACCATAGGTGGAGGCCCCTAATCTCTTAATGTGAACGATGAGCTGTCTGATACTAAAATAACAAGCATCATATTTCTTTTATCTTTCTGAAGTGACTAAAGCAGTTCATGTAGCTTTTTGAACTCTGCTGGAGTAAGGGATGCAGTGTTGTCTTCTATTCCAAGAATAAAGTCTTCAGGTAATGTCTCAGGTGCTACCTGAGCTAACTGGTCATCATAAGAACATAGGGTCCATAGTTCCTCTAATTCATAGGTTTCTCTGGTTTCTGGAAACATCAAATGAATCCCCATGCTGCCAAAATCCACAGAGAGTCAGTCATTAGTGTTTAACAGGAGGCTTGCTTTCACATTTCAGGTTTTTGTACATTTTCACAGTGTAGTAGGTCATGGGATCTAAGTGCAGGGTGGAAGTTCCAACACTAATCACAAGATAATCTGTGTATTTTATTTCTGGAGCAAACTTGATGACATCAGTGTATCTTGCATTTTCTTGCCTCAGAAGTGAAACCAGCACATTGATGTCAAACTTGGGACCCATATAAACTGCTGGGCCTGACTCTGGGCGTCCCTCATCAGCTGGACCCCCCTCCCCCATCCTTTTCTGTAGCCCAGGGCCACAGTGCAAGCTGCACACAACACCTGGGTCAAGCAGGCCTGGCCAGGTGCTGGTCCAGAGGGAAGCCCCACACAGTCAGCAGCTGAAGCTGGGCCTGGCTCCTGGAGAGGGTCTACTCCCAGGATTAGAACCCTGCACCACAGGGGTGGTCTGAGCCGCTGAACCACATGGCTGAAGCATCACGTTTCTTTCAGATGTTAAAGCACTGACTAGTTTTGGTCAGAAAGAAACATTATAATTCTAGAACCAATTATAGAACCAGCAGTAGGAATCTATGTGTAATAAAAATGAATCTAAAGATCAAAAAGATCTTTAATCTGCAAAGTAGGTAGCAGTGCCAAAATAACTTATCAACTCTTGAGTACACATTTCCATGATTTCCAAATATAACCATTTGGCATCCTTACAAATATGACCATAAGGTCATTCTAGTGCTGTGCACTATAGTACCCGGGGGTACCTGGAGTAGTTTTTAAAGTGACTTCACATATTGTACTTAACAGGCTGACTGCAAAAATCTATCTGTCTGTCTATCTGTCTGTCTATCTATCTATCTATCTATCATAATGATAGAGAAATTTCTCTGATTTCACCATTGGTGACCAGCTCTCTGCAAGACTATTAAGCATTTATGTAGTAAATCATCTGTGACCATTCTAATGTACAGCTGCAATCCAAGTGTAGCCAGATGCAGCTTCTACTTCCAGCCATGAGGCTCAACGTGGAAGATAATCACTGGTGAAACATTCCAGGTAGACTCAGCAATGAGGCAAAGTGATGTAACATATCTGAGTCAGGAAGTATGACAAATGAACAGTTTGGAATACTGGAAGGCTGAGCTTATCTCATAGAGAAAACCCCCACAATACCAGAGCAAATAACTTTCCCATGAAGCCAAACACAGCATGCAGTTTAGTTTTTGAGTGAGGAACTAGGTCTCTACTAGGAAATAACCGTTTTACACTACATTTTCACTGTACATAGTTGACTTGGGCGGGGTACTAGGAGGACTAGGGTTCATTTGAATTGTTGTAAACAATACATGGGTTCTACTGTCCCACAGCTTCCATTCAGATGACTAAAGTCATGAGACTTTCAGCATAGCTAGCTGATGACAGTGCATACTATTTTGTCCCAAAATCCAGTTCAGGCATGGACATACCGATTAGACTGCAAGCATTTAAAGGCAAAGGACCAGGAATTATACAGGTCTTGTTGTATAGCAGGATATAAAAAAAGCTTTTTTAAACTAAAGTTAAATGTGGACTCTTAGAATTCATACAATGCACCAGACTGCAGGATTCTGATATGCTGTTGAACTCTCAGATCCTATTCAACTCAGTAAACATCGACTGTGCTTCTACTAAATACAGGAACTGTGCTAGGTGCTGAGGGAACCACCCTGATGAAATCACAGTCCCTGTTGTGCAGAAACTCTCTATTCCTCTGTTCTCTGTCAGGGAGCTGCAGCCGGCCCCTAATCCACCACTTGCAATGCCAGCTTCCTATATGCGCAATGGTTTGAGTCCCAGTTGCTCCACTCAATCCAGCTCTCTGTTAATGCACCTAGGAAAGCAGTGGAAGATGGGCCAAGTACTTGGGCCCCTGCCACCCATGTGGGAGACCTGGAAGGAGTTCCAGACTCCTGTCTTCAGCCAGCCCTGGCCATTGCAGCCATTTGGGGAGTAAACCAGCAGACGGAAGATCTCTCTCCCTCTCTCTCTCCCTGTCTCTCTGTAACTCTGCCTTTCAAATAAATAATAAATAAATCCTTTTAAAACAAAAGACAAAAAAAAAACTGAAAATATTTCAATGCCCACCTACATTTCAATGCTGAGGAATTCTTTAGAAAGACTGCACATGGAATTGATAAACATAAGCCCCCTTGCACTGACCACCACCATTCCTTTACTCCTTTGCATTCCTTTCATTGTCCCTTACTGACAACACCATCAGGGATCCAATGCAAAATGGCAGTGCCAATTAAGGAACCAAAATCCCACCTATCACTTTTTCTATTAAATTAAGAGAGCTGGAGAATAATTTGTGCAGAATGATACAAATAAAAGGGTACAGAACTCCCAGGGACCCTTGCAAAAATTTACTTCTGTGACCTTCGACTATAGAGTGACCTTAATAATGTAAGCACTCTTTTGAACGCAAGCATTTGGAAGGCATTTCCACCAGGTTGGGTGACTTCAGTAAATTTAAGAACTGTTTTTGCATTTATTGCACAAACTCAAAAAACAAAGAAAGGGATTTTTGAACTGTTCAGTGAAAGTCTACACATTAAAGTTTGTTTTCCAGAAGTGTGCAGTTAGAAAAGTCTGCTTTCCACCTCCAAGTTGCCATTATCCCAAAGGTGAGATTGTAGCATATGACTAAAATGACCTATAGCTACAGCTTCATGATTCAGCATCTAACATCAATAATTCACGGTGAGATCATAGGCTGCCTGGGGAAGGTAGGGACACACTCACTTGCTTTATGAAGGGAAGCCGAGGGCACACGGAGACAGAATTTTGAATTTAGACTGGCAGCTCGCGTGGGCGTGGGATGCGTGTCTCCCGCGCCGGGTGTCAGTGCAGAAGGCGCCTTCTCTGCGAGGGGCTCTTTGAGAAAGGTGACCGTGGGCTGTCAGGCAGCGACTCACACATGTGGTCACCAGCTCCCCACAGATCCCGACCAGCCCTGGAGTTCCACAGTCCCACTGGGCGGGTTCGGTAGCCTCTCTGCTTTCTGCGGGAAAAGACGCCAGCTTGGTTCTCTGCCATCCCTGAACACAAATGTGTTGGTTTTTCTTTATTGAGCTTCCAACCCTTGTAACCTTCTAAAAATAAATCAAACCAGCCAACAGGGCACCGAAATACTACTAGGACTAATAAGCAGCTTCGCCTAGCTAGCCTTTGATAAACAACACTGCTGAGGTAAACTTTGCCCTACAGGTTTGGACACACTATTTTCTTTTTTTAAATGTAACCAGCTTAGTAATAATTACCGCACTTGGGTGCATTAACCCTGAAAACAAAAGACATGAAACGATAATTTAAATATGTGCACCAACTAGAAAAACACTCAGCAAACCGGCCTCAGCCTCCCGCCGCGACAAAGCCCTCAGCCCGCCCCCGCCCCACCAACCGCGGAACAGCCAGCTCGCGGCCCCGCCCACCTGCGCCCCGACCGCCCCAGTCCCCTACGCTCGCCTCCCGCGTGACTCCGCCCCCTTCCGCTCCTAATAGCCTGGTTCCAGGAGCCGGGTTCGGATTGCCCAAACCAGGCTGATTGCATAGCCCAATGGTCGTGCCGTATGCAAATAAGGCACGAAGTGGTTGGCTGGGGGCTGGTCGGATAACCCCGGGGCCCTTTGTCCTGCAGTGGCTGTGTGGCAGCTTGCGGTCGTGGTGTCGCGGTCCTCGGCGAAACCAGGGGCCGAGAGCCGGCGGGCGGGAGCAGAGGACGGCGCGGTGGCTGCAGGCGCTGGAGGTGGAGCCCGGACGGAAGAGGGGCGGCCGGACTGCACCAGAGCCTGGGAGCGAGTACGGGGAGCAGGCGCCCGCGCGCCCACGGTGGCAGGAGCCGCCCGCACGCCGCGCGCTCTCTCTGTGAGGGACCTGCAGTTGCAATATGACTTTGGAGGAATTCTCGGCTGGAGAGCAGAAGACCGAAAGGTAAGTCGGCTGCTGGCGTCTGCGACCTGAACTCCTCGCGCCCTGCCCGCGCAGCTCCCTGCACCCGGATTGCGGAGAGTGGAGGGGCGAGCGGGCGGCAAAGTTTGCACAGGGCACCTCCAGCCCTCGCTCCCTCAGGGACCCTCAAGGCGCGTGCCCCCAGCCCGGCCGAGCTCCCAGAGACTTTGGCAGAGGGCAGCTGTCTGGGGGCAGTGTCCTCCGGGGAGGGTGGCGGGAAGCACTGTCGGGGCTCCTCACCGGACACCCCAGCTTCTGGGCGTGCCGAGGGTCAAGGAAGGGGGTGGGGGTGTCGGGGCGGGGGACCCTGGGTTTGCAGAAAGCCGGGGTGCTTGGCGGCACTTGCACTCGTCGAGGCTCGCGGTGCGGGGCGAGGGGCCCGCGGCGGCTCCGAGGTCACGGACTGACGTGCCCCCTCGCCTTTGCCCGCGTGTAGGATGGACAAGGTGGGGGATGCCCTGGAGGAGGTGCTGAGCAAAGCCCTGAGTCAGCGCACCATCACCGTCGGTGTGTACGAGGCGGCCAAGCTGCTCAACGTGTAAGTGGGGCCCCCGCTGTCCCCTGGTGCCCCTGGCCGCCCCAGCCCGCCGGGGTCGCGCTCCCGGGTGCTCCCCTCGCCCTGCGGCGCCGCTTCCGGCCGCCTTCCATCTGTCCCCGAGGCCGCCTTGCGACGAGCGGCGGGGGTGAGGGGTGGGGGGCAGACCCCGGGGACCCGAGCGGGAGTGTCAGGCGCCCACGCGGGCCGGTGGCGCCCGTGTGCTCACCGGCCCCGCGCGCTGCCCGCAGGGACCCGGATAACGTGGTGCTGTGCCTGCTGGCGGCGGACGAGGACGACGACAGGGATGTGGCGCTGCAGATCCACTTCACCCTGATCCAGGCGTTCTGTTGCGAGAACGACATTAACATCCTGCGCGTCAGCAACCCGGGCCGGCTGGCGAAGCTCCTGCTCCTGGAGACCGACGCCAGCCCGGCGGCCAGCGAGGGCGCCGCGCAACCGCCGGACCTGCACTGCGTGCTGGTGACGGTAAGGGCCTGGGGGACTGCGGGCCGGGCCGGGCCGGGCCGGGCCGCAGCCCTGGAAGGGAGGGAGTCCAGAGTCGGCTGCCTGCAGCCCGGGCGGGGGCGGGGGTCAGGAGCCTGGCCGCCTTTGGCCCACTGAGGAGTGAGGCGGACTTTCAGCCGGGATGGACTAGTTTCATCATCACGATTTTCTCTGCTAAAGAACATGTCTGAGCACGTTGGAGGCAGCCAGCAGCGGAAGAGATCCCTGTGAGTCAGCAGTCAGCCCAGCTACTCCCTACCTACATCTGCACTACCTCCCGTGACTAATTCCTTTAGCTGGGCAGATTAGATAAAGCCAAATAAATTCCTGGCTCACCCCTCATTAAGGAGTCAGCTTATTCTCTGCCAGTTAAAGCTAAAAATAGAAGTGGTGTAGGAGACAGAACTTATTAATTCCCTAGAAATACATTAAGAGGATAGAGTGAAATTTTTTTTTTAATATACAATCTTGCATTTTTTTAAATGGACCTTTTCCTTGCTGTGATGCAAACCTTTGGGACTAGGTACCTTATGTGTTCCGAGGCAAATGTGCAGGCATTTGAAATCTGTCTTTTTTTGACTGGTGTAGTGAAGCTTAATGATTTTGCTGCTCCTGACAAGTACCGTTCTGTCTTTTGGGAAGATAACAGGTGGCAAATTCTGCCAGCTGCTGGGTAGCTCCCATTGTGTGCACAGCCTGGAACTGCTTCTCAGTCTTGCTTCTCCCAGGGCTCTGCCAGGGTACAGCTTTGGTAGAGCAAACCTGTGAGTGATAACTGTCATGCAAAACTGAGCCAGTACCGTGCAAACAGGTGTGGCTCAGTGCTGGCTGCACATTTTAGACGTCGCTGAGATCGTATCCCAGTTACCTAGAAGAAACTTTATTTATTGTGCATGTAACTTGTCTCTGTGCCTTGCAGCCACAATATAGAATGTTCAAATGTCTTCCCATCAAAAGTAGAGTACTTGTAAGCAAATGCTGTTTTGTTTTTATTTTTTAGCAATAAATTTATGTCTCTTATCTCCCCCCTCTCCCCCCAGAATCCACATTCATCGCAATGGAAGGATCCTGCCTTAAGCCAACTTATTTGTTTCTGCCGGGAAAGTCGCTACATGGATCAGTGGGTCCCAGTGATTAATCTTCCTGAACGGTGATGGCATCTGAATGAAAATAACTGAACCAAATTGCACTGAAGTTTTGAAATACCTTTGTAGTTACTCAAGCAGTTACTCCCTACACTGATGCAAGGATTACAGAAACTGATGTCAAGAGGCTGAGTTCAACTACATGTTCTGGGGGCCCGGAGAGAGGTGACTTTGCAGCTGGCAAGAGGTGAAAATGAAGAAGGAAGCTGTGTGGAAACAGAAATACAAATCAAAAGGAACACAATTACCAAGAACCACGCAGGAAGGAAAACTATGTATTAATTTAGGATGGTTGAGTTACCATGAAAATAAACCAGACATGCTTTGTTAAAAGTTTAAATGTGCAGCCGTAGGTTGGATATTTTTGGTTTATATGCCCTCAAGTAAAAGAAAAGCCAAAAGGGTTAATCATATTTTAAAACCATATTTTATTGTATTTTGATGAGATGTTAAATTCTCAAAAGTTTTATTATAAATTGTACTAAGTTATTTTATGACACGAAAGGTTATTTATGTTATAATTTTTGAAAAACAATACCTACAATAAACTGGTATGGAATAATTGCATATTTCTTAAGGTGTGCTTTTGTTTCTTGTTCATTTTGACTTTATTAAGGGGTATTTTACTGGCGCCCTGCTCCACACTAGGGCAGAAGAGTCAGAAAAACAGGTTAAGAGGAGTTAGCTGAATTTAGGGAAAAGGAGCAGCTAGAGATTCAACTTGTAAAAACTGAATAAATAATAATAGTTCTGTGATGTCAGTGCTATAAAAAGACCTAATGCAACATATGGAGGAAGCAGACAGGAGAGAATGACCAGTCACCTGCAAAACAAGTTTTTACTGAGAAGTCTTTATCTGGGTTTCAAAAAGGAGTTTCATTTCCCTAGCTAGAGAGAGGGAAGGCATATTGCTAGCAGCTGCACTAGTTTGTGCAAAGGTCGTGGAGAGGAGAGAGACCTGAAAGATCACAACCATGCAGGGAACATAGAGTGATCCTGTGCATGCCTCTGGTATAGCAAGATAAGAGAGATGGCTGGAAAGGTAGGTGGGCGTGAAGCCCAGACTAAAGGGCCTTCCGGGTCGCCCTTACGCATTAGGGCTTCCTTCTGCAAGCTTGAGCCATTGGCAGAGGCCTTCGCCAAGGAAGTGACGGAAGAGTGTTGAAGGCCGATGGTAGGGAAAGAGGGGCTGTAGGTAAAAAGGCTGATGGGAAGTGAGTGAATGCAAGGCTGAGCATTTTGCAGAAACCACATTTGGGGAACCAACCGGGAAGGGGCCTGGCCAAGCATTGTGGTGCCCTTAGTCTGGAGCGTTGTGCCTTCCAGCTGGCTGCTATGGCTTGGAGGGGTCTGGTTAAATTAGATCAGATGGGAGAAATGGCAGAGAAGAAAGCAGCAGAAGAAATGAAAGGCTTCAGCCGATCACTCTTGAGTTGGAACAGTCACTTGATAATTAACTGCAACAATGTCTTAGAGGCATAGCCAAAGAAAGCAAAAATGCTTACAGAGGCGAGGCTTAGCAGAGCTTCAGTCCACAGGATTTTTCTTTGCCTGCTTCTCAAATAATGCCTCCAATGGCTCTTGCATCTGTCTGCCACCCCTGTCATGACAATGTAAGGTCAGGAAAAAGTAGAAACAAACCCAGAGCAAACCAGAGCTCCAAGTTGCTGCCTATCTTGTAAATAACAGGCCTATGAGTCCTTCACCTTGCAATTAAGTTTCTGTTTTGCCACCTCTGCTAGAAATGTGGCGTTTTAGGCCTTGTTTAGACTTGCATCTTTTATTTAAGCCCATGCCCAATCCAAAACATACGAGTACTTAATACTTGTGTGTGTGTTTTTAAATATTACCAGAAGATTGTGAATAGTGAAGTTTTAAACAACAGAATCTACCTCCCAGCTGAAGGAAGGATTTTCAAAAGTACTTGGTAAAAACCCTTCTGCAAAGATAAAGGAATTAAAACAGGCATGCATGGCGGGGGTGGGGTGGAGGTGGGGGCGGGAAGCAGTTTTACATGGTAAAGAATTAAAACAGGCATGCACTTGGCAGGGCAGGGGAGGGCAGTTTTACATGGTAGAAGCTTGGGTAGTGGCCCCTGTCTTGGTCAGGCCTCCCAGTGGTTTTCTTCCTTTGTAAAACCATGATAAAATTAGCCATCTTACAGCACCCTTGGCTGTCCTGCAGATCCAGAGCAACTTGGAAGGGAGGAGCTGCTATCTGGTTCAGGGTTGTAGCCCAGTAGTTCGCACATGTGCCAACAAGCAGTAGGTGCCGAATTAATATTTGTTGAATAAGTGAAGGATTAGAAGGAATGAATGCCAACTACCTGGCACATGACAGTTGCTCAGTAGAGTGTGTGTTACTAAAATGCAGGTGATAGCAATCGAAAAACTTTCAAGGCCTCCTAGAGATCTCTTGTTTTTAACACATATACTTAATTGATAATGCTCAGAGATACGAAGTATTGTTCAGATTATTTTGTTTGAGCAAATCTCAGCCATTAACACATTGCTGTTTTTGTACTAATTTTGCTTGTTGTTATTCTTTCCCAATTGATATAACACAAAGTTAACTTGGCATTGAAAAATCCAATCATAGAACAGTTTATTCTAACAAGTACACAATTACCTACACAGCTTCTAGCTCTAATGCTAAAATTCCTCACTTATTGCTTTAAAAAACATTAAACCTGGGGGCTGGCGCTATGGTGTAGCAGGTAAAACCACTGCCTGCGACACCTGCATCCCATGTGGGCACCCATTCAAGTCCTGGCTTCCGATCCAGCTCCCTGTTAATGCACCTAGGCAACTAATGAAAGACGGCCTAAGTCCTTGGGCCCCTGCATCTATGTGGGAGACCTGGAAGAAGCTCCAGTCTAGCCCAGCCCTGGCCAGAGTGGCCATTTGGGGAGTGAACAAGCAGATGGAAGATCTCTATCTGTCACTCGCTCTTTCTCTTTGTAATTCTGCCTTTCAAATAAATACAATAATTTAAAAAAAAAATTAAACCTACTGATTGATAGCTAGGTGGAAATGTTACATCAAGAAGAAAAATCCCCTCTTCACTGAGGGTGTGTTGAAAAGTGGAAAACACCTATTTTTTCACTGGCAACTCCACTTCAGTGTCATAAAAAGTGTTAACTCCTTCCTTCTACAATTAACCAAGGCTCACAGTGAGTTAAACTTTTGTAATAAAAGAATCCATAAAAGCAGCTGATCCGTGATACGAAGGGTCTTCAAGAATGTTCATGGAAAAATGTGTATGAGGAAGAAGCTATGCTAGATTTCAAAAGCTTTGGGCACCAAACCGCTTTTAATTCCATTTTCCACAAATTTTTTGAAGTCCCCTCATAGGTACATTGTCTTCCAAATAAAGTAAATGGGTCACTTCTAGGAAGCAGCTGTTTGCATACTGTAAACTAGCAGCATTTCCAGCGTGTGTTTTGAGATGCCTCATGCGTGTGAAATAAATGCTTGCTTGATTTTCCATCAGGGGGTTAAACTGACTCTTATTCCTGGTAAAAGGCCACCAGCCGTGAGGTGTGTGGCCTTCACATGTACAAAACTCAGGGCCATGATTTGACACCAAGCCAGTGTCCTTCAAACTGAGTTGAATCTTTTCTTCTATCTTTCTGAACAACCCTTAAATAAACAAAAGAACCTCTTTGAGAAGCCTGTATTCATGAAAACCACCAAGCACTTAGTGCTTTCCAAGGAGCAGGAACTATAGTGATCATAGCGCAGTCTACAAAAAATCAAACACGCACACCCTGGCCTCAGGGAGCTCAGCCGATCTGGTGAAGCAGCGATAGATACTTCAACACAGAGTTCAAAGCAGAAAATGCCCAGCAACGTAAGAAAGACACAGACAACTGCTACGGGAGTTCAAAGGATAGAAGTGTTTGAAGAGCACATAAGGATGGAAGAGAGAAAAAGGTTGTAAGCTCTTTGATCAGAAGCTAGCATTGTTTTTTCAAACAGCACAAAAATACTTGATTGACTGATGGGATATTGAATAGAATTCTGTGAGATGCTGCAGAGAATGGGAAGATGTAGCCTAAGGGAACACGTGTCCTTAAGTATTTCAGAATCTATAAGGAAATCAAGATAAACACACTCATTCCTTTAGTGCTCTTTAGTGAATGTCTGTCATGTACCCGGCACTGTGGTAGGTCCACAGCTATCAACGTGACATGCATCTGCCCTTAAGGAGGTACACAGTTTAGTGGAGATCCCACCCCTGCTCCATGCAGTCTGGGATGATAAATGATACCAGGGTGCATTCCAGGCCTCAGTATCCCAGGGTCTAGTGAGACTTGGAAGATGGGAAGATCTGTCAGGGGAGTATGGAGGACACCTATTCCTGGAGGAGGAGCTGCACACAGCTCAGGAGAGAATAGATTCAAGGCATGTTTGGGGCTAGCTTCTGGGGACTTAGGTAGGGTTAACTTCATACCAAGCACTTTATAGGGCTCGTGAGCACTCATGAACACTCTGTGGAAGTATGTAAATCATTCTCCCCATTTTAAAGGTGAAAAGACTGGTGCACACAAGATTAATTAGCCCATTCATATGGTTAGTAAGTAGCAAAGCAAAGATGGGAGACTGGTGACGAAGTGAGAAAGCTGGTCGGAACCAGACCATGACTTTCTGCAAGCCAAGCTATTTTTCCACTAGGTGACAGAAAGCCATTTTATTTTAATTCATCAATGAATGAATTAATTTGCACTTTATTTTTTAAAATATTTATTTATTTATTTGAAAGTCAGAGTTACACAGAGAGAGAAGAAAAGGCACAGAAAGAGAGAGAGAGATGTCTTCCACCCACTGATTCACTCCCCAATTGGCTACGACAGCGGGAGCTGCACCAATCCGAAGCCTGGAGCCAGGGACCAGGAGCCAGGAGCTTCTTCCAGGTCTCCCACGAGGGTGCAGGGGCCCCAGCACTTAGGCCATCTTCCACTGCTTTCCCAGGCCATAGCAGAAAGCTGGATGGGAAGTGGAGCAGCAGGGACTCGAACTGGAGACCATATGGGATGCCGGCGCTGCAGGCAGCGGCTTTACCCGCTATACCACAGTGCCAGCCCCTGTACTTTATTTTTTAAAAAGATTTATTGATTTATTTGAAAGGCAGAGTTACAGACAGAAGAAGAGAGGTTTGCCACAGACCTCACCACTCCCTAATGTAAACTTTAGCTTGTTGAATCAGGTGGGTGTCCTTCTGTCCTTTTCAGCAAGTGTGTGTAGTCCACTCTTCACCCCCACCCCCACAACTAACATTTCAGCCTGGCGCTTAGAATCTTTCTGTGTGAACTGAACTGTTTGCACTATCAGAACTTTTCAAGGTGTTCTGGGATAAAATGTCCTGAGTGCCTGTTAAAAATACAGCTTTCAAGACTCCTTCCCAGAGGCTTCGGATTAAGCTAAGTCCCAAAACTGATTTTTATAAAAAGATTTGTTTACTTATTTGAAAGAGAGAGTGAGCGAGAACAATCTTCCATCTGCTGGTTCACTCCCCAAATGGCTTCAATGGCCAGGGCTGGACCAGGCCAAAGCCAGGAGCCAGGA